TCACTCCAAAGGACAGATCAACCTGACAGAAAATAAGTAAGGAGACAGAGGCACTGAACAACACACTAGAACAGATGGACCTAACAGACATCTACAGAACTCTACACCCAAAAGCAGCAGGATACACATTCTTCTCATGTGCACATGAAATACTTTCAAGAATAGATCGTATACTAGGCCACAAAAAGAGCCTCAGTAAATTCAAAAAGACTGAAATTGTACCAACCAGCTTCTCAGACCACAGTGGTATGAAACTAGAAAGAAATAGACTTAAAATAAAAAGATAACAAAAAAGCCCACAAACACATGGAGGCTTAACAACATGCTCCTAAATAACCAATGGATCAATGACCAAATAAACACAGATATCAAGCAATATATGGAGAGAAATGACAACAATAATTCAATACCAGAAAAATCTGTGGGACACAGCGAAGGCTGTTCTAAGAAGGAAGTATATTGCAACACAGGCCTACCTCAGGAAAAAAGAACAATCCCATATGAACAGTCTAAACTCACAATTAATGAAACTAGAAAAGGAGAACAAATGAGGTCCAAAGTCAGTAGAAGGTGCAACATAATAAAGATTAGAGAAAAAATAAATAAAATCAAGAAGAATAAAACAATAGAAAGAATTAATGAAAGCAGGAATTGGTTCTTTGAGAAAACAAACAAAATAGATAAACCCCTAGGCAGACTTACCAAGAAAAAGAGTCTACACACATAAACAGAATAAAAAATGAGTAAGGAAAAATGACTACAGACACCACAGAAATACAAAGAATTATGAGAGAATACTATGAAAAATTATATGGTAACAAACTGGATAACCTAGAAGAAGAGACAATTTTCTAGAAAAATATAACCTTCCAAGGCTAACCCAGGAAGAAACAGAAAATCTAAATAGACCAATTACCAGCAAGGAAATTGATCTGGTAATCAAAAAACTACCTAAGAAGGTTTTACTGCTGAATTTTATCAAATATTTAGTGAAGACCTAATACCCATCCTCCTTAAAGTTTTCCAAAGAGTAGAAGAGGAGGGAATACTTCCAAATTCATTCTACAAGGCTAGCATCACTCTAATACCAAAACCAGGCAAAAACACCACAAAAACGAAAATTACAGACCAATATCCCTGACGAACATAGATGCAAAAATACTGAACAAAGTATTAGCAAACCGAATTAAAAAATACACCAAAAAGATCATCCATCATGATCAAGTAGGATTTATTCCAGGGATGCAAGGATGGTACAACATTCAAAATTCCATCCACATCATCCACATCAACAAAAACGAGGACAAAAACTGCACGATCATCTCCATGATGCTGAAAAAGCATTTGACAAAATTCAACATTCATTTATGATAAAAACTCTCAAAAAAAACAAAAAAATGGGTATAGAGGGCAAGTACCTCAACATAATATAAGACAAACCCACAGCCAACATCCTACTTAACAGTGAGAAGCTGAAAGCCTTTCCCTTAAGATTGGGAAAAAGACAAAGATGTCCACTCTCTCCACTTTTATTCAACATAGTACTGGAGGTCTAGCCACAGCAATCAGACAACACAAAGGAATAAAGGGCATCCAGATTGGCAAGGAAGAAGTTAAACTGTCACTCTTTGCAGATGACATGATGTTGTACATAAAACACCCTAAAGAATCCACTCCAAAACTACTAGATCTAATATCTGAATTCAACAAAGTTGGACACAAAATTAATACGCAAAAATCTGTTGCATTTCTATACACTAACAATGAACTAGCAGAAAGAGAAATCAGGAAAACAATTCCATTCACAATTGCATCAAAAAGAATAAAATACCCAGGAAGTGAAAGACCTATACTCTGAAAACTACAAGACACTCATGATAGAAATTAAAGAAGATAGCAATAAATGGAAACACATGCCGTGCTCATGGATACAAAGAATTAATATTGTCAAAATGGCCAACCTGCCTAAAGCAATCTACAGATTCAATGCAATCCCTATCAAAATTCCAACAGCATTCTTTAATGAGCTACAGAAAATAGTTCTAAAATTCATATGGAACCACAAAAGACCCTGAATAGCCAAAGCAATCCTGAGAAGGAAGAATAAAGCTGGGGAGATGGGGGGATTTTGCTCCCTGACTTCAAGCTCTACTACAAAGCCACAGTAATCAAGACAATTTGGTATTGGCACAAGAACAGACCCATAGACCAATGGAACAGACTAGAGAACCCAGATATATATCTAACCATATATGGTCAATTAATATATGATAAAGGAGCCATAGATACACAATGGGGAAATGACAGCCTCTTCAACAAATGGAGTTGGCAAAACTGGACAGCTACATGGAAGAGAATGAAACTGAATTATTGTCTATCTCTATAAACAAAAGTAAACTAGAAATGGATCAAGGACCTGAATGTAAGTCAAGAAACCATAAAACTCTTAGAAGATAATATAGGCAAAATTCTCCGGAATATAAACATGAGCAACGTTTTTCTGAATGCTCTCCTCAAGCAAGGGAAACAAAAGCAAAAATGAACAAATGGGAGTACATCAAACTATGAAGCTTCTATATTGCAAAGGACACCAACAACAGAACAAAAAGGCATCCTACAGTATGGGAGAATATATTTGTAAACGACACATCCAACAAGGGGTTAACACCCAAAATACATAAAGAACTCACATGCCTCAACACCCAAAGAGCAAATAACCTGATTAAAAAATGGCAGAGGATATGAACAGACAATTCTCCAAAGAAGAAATTCAGATGGCCAACAGGCACATGAAAAGATGCTCCACATCACTAATTATCAGGGAAATGCAAATTAGAACCACAATCAGGTATTACCTCACACCAGTTAGGATGGACAACACAGAAAAGACTAGGAAAAACAAATGTTGGAGAAGATGTGGAGAAAGGGGAACCCTCCTACAGTGCTGATGGGAATGAAAGCTAGGTCCAACCATTATGGAAAGCAATACGGAGGTTTCTCAAAAACTAAAAATAGATATATCATTTAACCCAGGAATTCCACTTCTAGGAATTTACCTAAAGAATATAATTTTTCAGATGCAAAAAGACATATGCACCCTATGTTTTCTGCAGCACTATTTACAATAGCCAAGATATGGAAACAACCTAAGTGTCCATCAGTAGATGAATGGATAAAGAAGAGGTGGTACATATACACAATGGAATACTATTCAGCCATGAGAAAGAAACAAATCCTACAATCTGCAACAACATGGATGGAGCTGGTGAAATATGCTCAGTGAAACAAGTCAGGTGGAGAAAGATGGATACCAAATGATTACCCTCATTTGTGGAGTTTAACAACGAAGCAAAACTGAAAGAACAACACAGCAACAGACTCACAGACTCCAAGAAGGGACTAGCGGTTATCAAAGGAGAGGGCTGGGGGAGGGTGGGTGGGGAAGGAGGAGAAGGGAATTGTGGGGTATTATGACTGGCACACATGTTGTGTGTGTGGGGATGGATCATGGGGAAGACAATGTAGCACAGAGAAAGCAAATAGTGACTCTGTGGCATCTTACTATACAGATGGGCAGTGACTGCAATGGGGTATGGTGGGGACATGATAACATGGGTGAATGTAGTAACCACATTGTTTTTTTCATGTGAAACCTTCATAAGAGTGTATATTAATAATGCCTTAATAAAATAATACAATACAATAAAATAAAATAATAAAAATGAAAAGTTAAAAACTAAATAGATTACAAAAGTAACAAACCCTGGGAAATAAGGGGAAAAAAGAAAGTATTGGTCCAAGGAGTATTAAACTACTTAAAAAGTCAGCACAACACTGAAAAACCAGGTAAGCATGAAACAAAATAAAAGTCTGGGCCAATCTTACATAGTGTAAAAATTTCTAAATACAAGATTTTCTAGTTTAACCTAGCCAAGTAATAAAATACCAAGTAAGATTTATGACATGAATGCAAGGATGATTCAACACTGGACAGCCTACCAACTTGTTATTCCTGTCCAGGGTTTTTAAAGATGAAACTTTATGCCTTTTCCGTAATATTCAAACTAAATAATAGAAATGGAGTACAAATGGCTCAGTCCCACAGGAGAAAGGGAATAAGGGAGGAGACTCCAACAGTTGGAGATTGCAGTACAAATTCTGAAGATGGACAGTAGAGAGGCCAACTAAAACAGCAGCCTATTCTAGGAAACACAGAGTAACAGGTGCTGAAAGGAAAGGGACGAGGAAAGAGCCAACTCTTCCTAAAAAGTAAAATAAAATCCCAGAAGCTCTTGGAACTAGGCAATGCCAAGTATAAAAGACATCACATGGAACAGAATTGCCCCTACCCTATCTCCAACCAAATGCCCAACTCTGCTCCCCACGCCACACCACACCTTGAACACTAACACTCAGTAAAGCTTCTGCCATGGAAATTTGAAGCTTGTTCTCTGGAGAAATTAAACGAGAGAAGCCCAGGACTTAAAGGCACAGAAAAGGGGTTATCCCTAAGATAGGTAATTCAAATGTTAGTTTCTGAGTGGTTCTAGACAACAGAACCCCACATACATTTTGGGGAACTGTTAGCTAAGGAACCCATTTGTTGCCCAATCATCCTAAAATAATTTTGCCATCAAGTTCCATCTATACACACAGAATTTATAATCAGCTTTTTAATGTCCTACTCTTACCAACCAAATAAATCCCTTCTAATCTAACTTCTGCTACGAAGATAATTAAATCCATTTTACCATTACTCTATTAAAAAACCATAGCCACTCAGTTACAAATATCATAATATATATCTGTGAGCAACTTCTTCTAATTCTCCTGTGTAACTGCTATACTTCCAAATCTTAGTTTCCTCCATGGATTAAGGTAAGAAATATAGAATGAGGTGGATCTTAGACTATTCCCAAATAAGAAATTCTCACAAGCCAGACCTGAACACAAAAGTTGAGGCAAATTAGGATAATAAAAATTTCAATACAGAATCTTACCTGTTTATCTTTCCTTTCTATAATATCTTGCTTTTGTTTGCATTTTTGAGATGCCTCCTTAATATCTATGGCCTGTAAGATCAAACCAGAAGGGGGAAAATTAGTTAAAAACTCAAGCAACCCAATTATGTAGTCCTGCTGGTCCAAATACTAAGTTGTATATAAGTTTACCCACAATGCTTTTCCATCTCTTTCAAAGCAAATTCATTATCATCACCAAAAATACCAACTTCTTTGCAAATCTATAAAAGGTTATAAATTTTAAACAGAGCTGCAGCAATCAATATGCATATGCATGTTTATCTCGTCACAATCTATTTTCTCATATGTTATTTCATCTGCTCCTAAAAACAGTCCCATAACATAGCAAGGTCCACAGTTTAAACCATTCTCAAAGTAATCTGACTCCAAAATCTCCCTAAATGTTAAAAACTATGACCATAAAAAATTTTAAGTTATATTTCCAATAGGTAATATTCCATATGCCATTATATATTTATTCTAAGAAACATCAAGTTTTCTCTAATAAATTCACAAAAGAGTTTGTTTCCAAGAGTACTACTCTGAATCCTCCTGTAATTAAAACAATCACATTTCATTCTTCTCTTTATGTATCCTGGAATTTCTATACAGTATCAATCCTCCAACAATGATGATTAAGGCCTTGAAAGTGGTGGGGTGGCAGAACTCCTCTCAAGGACCAGGGAACTGAGCTATGAGTGAATATACACAGTACTTTCAAAGGCCTGCAAAGTTAGTATTGGCTAAAGTAAAATACAGGAAATCCAAAACTGAGCCAGAGAAGTACCTTCTCTTTGATCCGAGCCTCCAAATTATGACGCTGCCTTTCAGTTTCTTCAATTCTACGTGTCACAGGAATCTGCCCCTCTTTAAGTTTTCTGACCTCTTCCTTCACTCGGTCACGAGCTAGTTTCACTTCTCTATATTCCTGACGAACATTTTCATATTCCTTGCAATTAATTAAAAAAACAGAAGTTTTGTTTATAGTTCATAATGCGTGATCAAAACCGAAAGTTTCTGTGATGACTGCCCTTGCACTGTTCACCATGTAAGAACTTATTCACTATGTAAGAACTTGTTCACCATGTAACAACTTGTTCGTTATGCTTCAGAAGATTGGAGACTGTTGAGAATTAGGCTTGGGGTTGATTAATGATTGTGCATTGAGTCCCCTATACAGAATTTTATTGTTGTTAACAACCATTTGATCAATAAAAATGAGAGATGCCCTCTCAAAGAAAAAAAAACAAAAACAAAACAGAAGTTAATACACTACTAGAATAAATGAACACATATACCAACACCAAGGCACAGGCAGCAACCAATCTATGAATGTCTGTTCTGGTATCTCTGTTATCTCCATTACCAAGCTGGACTGACTTCTCTCTCTTCCTGTTTCTAAAACTTATACATGAACAGCTATTAAAATGAGATTCTCTTCTACTCTCTCAAAAAAGAAGAGATGCAAGAATGTATAAAGAAGAAAAAGAAACTTATTAAAAATAAAAGTGAAAAAGAACGAAAGGAAAATGGGTCAAAAGGAAAACAAGCATGCAGTGAAAATACTTGTCATGTCAAAGGAATTAATATTTGCTGAACAAGTAAGTGAAGTGCTGAGATAGCATATAATTAAGAATGAATGGGATCAAGAAAGGTAAGAAAAGACCAGTAGTACATATTAAAATAAAGCAAATAAAGAAAAAAAATGAAAAAAGATCAAAAATAATTTTGGAAAAGGGTAAGCAAAAGACTTCCAAAGACAAAGCATATGCAGGAATAATAATGGACACAGGAAAATGTGATCAAAACAAGGTGAAGAAAGGAAAAAGTTTAATAATAATGAAATCATGGGACAGTTAGAGTAAAACAGGGACCAAGAGGGAGAAGGCCATAGTATAGCTGTATGTTTTCCAATCTGGTAACAATTATTTCCATCCTAACTTTGGAACAGACAAAAAACTTTCTTATTTGGTTTTGCCCATTTTAAAGAAATCCACTGAGGGAATTGGCCATTTAACCCAAAGTATGGTCTTAAATAATAAAATACACCTTACATAGTGATTAAAAAGGGAACAGGGGCTTCAGTAAATAAATAAAGTATGTGAGTAAAAGATTAGTTTCTTTCTTTCAGATACATCTGAAGTTAATATTAATGGCACATTTCAAGTAAATTCTGTAACATGAGGACACTCAAACATTTAATTTTTACACGTGTAAACATTTCTAGATCATTGATATTTTATAAAACAAAACTATCTCTTGAGGACTTAAATATGGAAGAATTAAAGAGCAGACTTAACCAACTATTATGTTTTACAATAATAGTTACATAGCATAAAGCTATATAGTAACACAAAGAGAAAATTATGATACACAGCAAAAATGAATGAAAGTAATTTGAATACCTAGTAATTAGTGCCTTCTTTATAATTTTGCTGATACTTAAAAAGATCAGTATTTTTCCTCTAATAATTAATAATTAAGACTTACCACCCACGGCCTCTTTGCTTCAAGCATCTCAATCAAATCTAAATGTCGCTTGCGTTCATAGAACCTCTCCACATCTTGTTTATATCTTTCATTCCTTTGAATCATTTTCTCTAGATACTCAGTTTTCTCTTTGCATGAGGTCTAAAATAAATATTTAACAATTAGTTTAACTGAAAAGCAACAGGCCAAAGCATTTAACAATCTAGCAAAATTTCACTATAAAGGATTTTACAGGAGTACTTAAAGAACTTAAAAACTAATGTGAACAACTGAATTCTGGTCTAGACTCTACAATGTACTAGTCAAGTGACTGTGAGGAAGCCCTGCCACATCTCTGAGCCTGAACTCTTCTTGCCTAAAGAGAGAGATACCTGTCCCATTTACCTGGAGTGTAGGAGCAATTCACTCACTATGGTGAAAGCTCAGTAAAAACTGCAATGTAATATACAAATGAAAAGTAACATTATGATTAGTACATTATAAACACCATGCTTTAAGGACTTGGAAATAAAATGAAGGAAAGCTAAAATTCAGCCTTTATGTTGCAAATTAACAAATGCAAAAATGTAGTCAGAACCTTGCAGAATATATGCTTGTTTTTCTGAGGAATATAAGGTTCAGTGAGTGATTTACATGGGAGTACAGTAGTCGGTCCCCCTTATCCACAGGGGATATGGCCCCAGACTGCCAGTGGGTTCCTGAAATCACAGATAGTACCAAACCCTAGACATACTAGTTTTTTCTATATATACGCATATCTATGATAAAGCTTTATTTATAAATTAGGCACAGTAAGAGACTAACAACAATGAATAGAATTTTTAAAATATACTGTACTAAAAAGTTACATGAATGCATGTGAACGAGGTCTCTCTCAAAATAGTTTACTTTACTGTAGTCACCTTCTTTTGATGATGTGAGGTAAGATGCCTACATGTTGAGATTACTAAGATGAATGACGTAGGCACTGTGACACAGCATGTCAGGAGGAGGATCAACTGTTTCTGGACCATGGCTGACTGCAGGTAACTGAAACCATGATTAACAAACCTCAAAAAGGGAAACCACGGGTACAGAATGCTACTGTATGACTGGTGTAGGGCAGGATAAAAAGACCGAGGGAGTATCTGAAGTAGGATAAAGTAATTACAACTTCTTTAATCATCACTCTAAGCATAATAAGAAAAATAATACCAAATGCATATTACCAAGTATAGACAGTTACAGTTTAAAAGAAAGCATGTATTTACAATACTTCCTATTACAAAAATTTACTGAATCCATTTTAGTTTCTGGGACATGGAAAATGATTAAATAAAATGTTTTCAAATGATATGCTATAAAAGGACATTTAATATGTTTATTGAAGGAGAAAATGAAAATACAACAAACTCTTATGAAGACTACCTTCATATAACTGAAAAAATACAAGAAATGGCTCAACAGAGGTGCTATATTAAAAGCCATATGGTACATGCTACTTACTCAAAGACTTGTACAGTGCCTGATACATGGCAGGGGTTTAATAAATACTGAATGAATAAAAGAATAATACTAAAACTTCCTGAGAGAATAAAAAATACTATTATTTGTTCCTTCGAAAGTCAATAGATAACATGTATTTGATGAAATGGTTGTCAAATTTGTCAAGTTTTACATTATCAAATCCATTTTCATTTTCTGTCACCTAATTAATGTCAGCAGAACAATCTTAGGTGAAAAAAATTGCAAATATATGAATTCACTCAATGAATCAGAACTACTATTCACTCTGACACATTTTGAGACAAGATATTATTAACAAGGGACAATAAAAATGAGTTGTTTATTTATAAATACCTCTAGTTGTTTTTCTTTCTCCCTGAAGTTTTTGAGTTCACAATGGTATGTGTGCATTTCTGGAGGACCAATTGACTTCTCAGTAGCTTCAAGGAGTTCAATTTTACTGAGTTTAGCAAATTCTCCAACTTTATCCTAGAGCATAAAACTTAAATATCAGGAGCCATATCACTTATAAATATCTTCACAAATTGCACTCAATGATCACACCTGTCAAGATGAAACTCAAACCATTTTTAGAGGTGTGATCTTAATATAAATCTTGTCCTTTCATATATTATTATTTAAAATAAGAAAGTCTTAGAGTATCAACTGTCATCTTCCTGAGAACCTTTAAAAAATTTCTATGTCAATATTTCCAGGATACATATAATAAGCACTCTTGGGACTGAAAGGAGAAATAGTCCCCTAGACGGAAATATCATTATCTACCTACCACACATCAGTTAGAAGTTAAAAGAATTTTAAATGTCTTTTTCTGGTGATAGTCTGACATTAGCTGATAAATGTTTTCAAGTTTAAAATTTTTATTTAATTTAGACAAAGGTAATCAAATCATTGTTTCTTCAGGAAAAAAATGAACTATAATTCAGTCACTAGACAATATTCAAAGACAAATTTAAAAGGTATTTGACTAACAGCTAATGAGCATTTTCAGGATATCTTTACTAAACAAGTTTAAAATCTCAAGGTTTTAGAAGTCAAAACTATTGACTTAAGAGTTTAAATATTTCACATATTTTATACAAAAACACTGATTTAAGAAATTATATAAAAAATTTTAAGAGCCTACAAGTGGAAGCACATAGCTAGCCAAGCTACTCTATTTAAAAATAATACAAGTTTATTTCCTTTACAATACTTACTCTTTATTAATTGAAATTTCCTAATTAATACACATTAAAAATATTTTACAGTAATAGATGAAATGCTACCTTTTACAAAGAACTGTTAACAGGTAAGCATTAAGAGGACTGTGCTTAGTTTAAATAGTAACCATTACAATATCCTTTGAAAGGTGTTTACATTTCTTATATGGCATTAAGAGGAAACATTATATACAAAACATTCCAACTTTACATTTAATCTTCTCCTACCTGAGGTAGAAACTGGCAAAGATTACCCACTTGAATATTTAAGGCTGCAACTTGCTCTTCTACTATTTTCTGGGTTGTAGATTTTTTGTTGATGAACCAAAAGGACTGATTTTTTGCCACATCAATTTCACGGGTGATTATAAGATTTCCAGAGGTCCTGAACCTAGTTTAAAAATAATTTAGAAATCTTTATATTCAAGATACATACATTGTTTTAAGTGTAAAATTTCCAAAATTCTCCTGCACCAGAGGTTGCCAGATAGTATTATCATTTTTATTCTTTTTGAATTTTGACCCTCCAAAGAAAGAAACCTTGACATTTTATTGGCAATAATACATAACTGACCACAGGTAAATTATTATTCAACATCAGAATTATTTAAACTATTAAAATAAAATTAAAACAAATATCAATTCCCAAACACTGACAGAGATTCACACATCTGGAGTTATTTATCCTTTAATCATTATACTATTTTCCAATCATATGCTCTGACTACCATTCAAAATGAGTTGGGGTATCAAACCATATAAAAATTAAACCTAGAGACTTCCTCTACTTTAAAATGTATAAATGAAAACCAACTCTTGCATATGTATTTTCAGATACCAGAACTAGCCTGCCTATACAGATAGCCCATGGCTTTCTTATCTTGTCTGGATGAGAAAGCTATGACATGAGAGCTTAAGAGTACTGTGAATTCACTGTGAACTATGTATATCACATGGTCTTACAGGAACATTAAGCAATAGAGAATCTGAAAGAAGGGTATATACTTTTTTTTGCTTTTAGAAGTACTAATTGCTCCATACTTCCCATCTATTCATCCATCTTCTTCAGTGGGAATCAGTAGCATGTGACAGAAAGATAAATTAGCGGTATCCAACGGCTAAATGACAGCAGTTTGAAATGTTGTATATATAGATTACACAGTAATCAGAACACTACAAACATTAACATTTCAGGAGTAAAAAAAAAAGTAGTTTTAAGCTTTCATTTCCAGCAGAATGACTAATAAAGTATTATTTTTGATCTTCTTGCTATAAATAGCTGAAAATAGATAAAATAATATCTTCATAAATCCATTTATGAATAGACATGAAAGTAATTCTGGCCAAAATTTTGTGCAGGTGGGAATCTAGAAGTAGAAAAATGAAATTGGCTTTCACCCTGACAGCATTTGCCAACAGGATAACTTTGTGCATTCATTTTCATAACCTCCTGGGAGGAAGCTGCAACAAAGCCCAAAGCTAACAAAAGGTGGAGTTTCTAACAGAAACCATCCGCAAAAGGCCATACTCTCAGTGTAAGTGTAAAACAGAAATACTCCATCATTATCACTACCCCTAGGTACAGCAAAGTAAAGTGCCTGTCTCCAACTATGGTTTGAACTGCAACAAACAAAAAATCTTCCCTGAGAGTTACTAACCAGTACAAATCGGTCTCAAACAGATTTGTACCATAAAGTTAGTTCCTGGCGAAATGCAAATTAAAACCACAATGAGATATCACCTCATTCCAGTTAGGATGGCCAACATCCAAAAGACAAGAAACAACAAATGCTGGCAAGGATGTAGAGAAAGGGAAACCCTCCTACACTGTTGGTATGAATGTAAATTAGTTCAACGATTGTGGGAAGCAATATAGAGGTTCCTCAAAAAAATAGAAATAGATACACCATTTGACCCAGGAATTCCACTCCTAGGAATTTACCCAAAGAAAACAAGATTCCTGACTCAAAAGGACATATGTACCCCTATGTTTATTGCAGCACTATTAACAATAGCCAAGATATGGAAGCAACCTAAGTGTCCTTCAGTAGATGAATGGATAAAGAAGATGTAGTACATATACACAACGGAATATTAGTCAGCCATAAGAAGAAAACAAATCCTATGATTTGCAACAACATGGATGGAGCTAGATGATATTATGCTCAATGAAATAAGCCAGGCAGAGAAAGACAAGGATCAAATGATTTCACTCATTTGTGGAGTACAACAACAAAGGAAAACTTAAGGGACAAAACAGCAGCAGACTTGCAGACTCACAGACTCCAAAAAGGGACTAGGGGCTGGTTACCAAAGGGAAGTGGCTCAGGAGGGTGGTTGGGGAGGGAGGTAGAAGGGGATTAAGGGGCATTACAATTAGCACTCACAACATAAGGTAATGGGGAAGGCAGTACAGCACAGAGAAGATAAATAATGACTCTATAGCATCTTATTAAGCTGATGAACAGTGATTACAATGGGGGGGGACTTGATAATATGAGTGGATGTTGAAACCACAATGTTGCTCATGTGAAACCTTCATAAGATTGTATATCAGTGATACCTTAATTTAAAAAAAAGTTCCTGGCATACCTAAGGAGGTTCAAAAACCCACAAACTGAGAATTCTGTGTATTGTGATCTTTGATTGAAAAGTATCCAATGACATGACAGAAGTTAATGAAAACTCCCTCTGCAAGAATCTACCTTTATCTTAAAAGAAATAATAGGAAGTTCAAAGAGAAAGGAACAGCAAATTTGGAAATACATACATGAAAAGAAAGCATCAAGAACTAGCAGAAATAAGAGAAAAAAGAGCCACACTGGGATTAATGGACAAGTATAAAATAAGTATGGTTATCATATTTTAAGGAATAAAAGATTGAAAATATAAGTAAACAAGCTGATCTGAAAAAGAACCAAAGAGAAATGGATCTAGAACACAAAAACATAAAAAGATGAGTATGAACACTTTTAAGAAATATGGATGACTGAGTAAGAAAGCTTAACATTTATCTAAAAAGAGTTCTAGAAGGGAGAGAGAATGGTTCACTGGCAATATCTGAAGAGACAAGAAAAGAATTTTCCATATCATAGTTTAAGCAGCTCATTCAATCTCAAGCAACACCTAAATAATAAATAAATCACACCTAAACATATGATGTTAAACTTTAAAACATCAAAAACAGAGATATGATTTTAAAAGCCTCAAGAAAAAGAAAATTACTATCAAGAAACTTAGATTGGCTCCATACCAGAAAACAACATAATTATACTTTGCATGTGCTGAAAAAAGACTTCTCAAAGTAGAATTTTATATCCAGCAAATACATCCTTCAGGATTTAAAGCAAAATAACATCATCCTTAGACAAAAACTGTTCCACTTGAATACCCTCATGAAAAGAAACTAAAGGATGTCCTCTTGCAGAAAGAACGCAATCCCAGAGGTAAGAACAGAAAGGAAAGAAAGAATGTAAAGCACGATAAACAGAAGATTCTGTGGGGTAATTCTAGACAAACTCTGACAGTCTAATAATAGTTATTATGTCTTGAAGAGTCTAATAAACAACATAGATTATAACAACATATAAATTCAGAGAAGTTATTGAAATAAAAGTACTCTAATGCCTTTGGAAGACAAAGATTTAATTAACTCTAGACTAATTATAAGTGTTTGTTAAAAATTTTAACAACCACTAACACAATAGAATAATTTCTAAAACAATTAAGAAAAATTAAACAAAAATCCAACCAAGCCAAGACAGAAAAGAAATACTGCAAAATGGGACAAATAAAAATCAGAGTAAGGCTGTAAAAATAAGTCCAAACATATAAATAACAAATGTAAATGGACCATATGTCCTATTTAAAAGACTATATAAAAAACACCCAGCTATATATACTACTTTAAATGATGTAAAAGAAAACACCTGAAGTAAATGAGTGAAAAAAGAAAACCAGAAAAATACTTAAAAAAACACTTTCCTTAGCAATTAAGGAATCAATGTAACATTTGAAATCATCAAAAATACAGAAGGTTTAACAATATAATAAACTTAACCAATGGACAAATACAGAATACTACACATAATAAAAGTAGAATACTCATTCTTTCAAGCAAACAAGTAACAATTACAAATGCTCACTACAAAAAGTAAGCTTCAACAAATTTCAAAAGTCTGGTAACATAAAGACCATATATGTATTTACCACACTATCATAAAATAGAAATCAATACTAAAACAGAGAAAAATCACATCAAAATTTGAAACTTCTATGAATTCATAAAGAAAATAAAGAAAATACTCAAATATGAAAAACAGGAAAATGCCACATTCCAAAATTTGGGAGAAGCAGTTAAAGCAACACTGAGAAGGAAAATGTAACAGTTTACATTAGGGAAAATATAAGACTGAAAATCAGTACAATAAATATCCATTTCAAGAAATTAGAAGAGGAACAAAGGAAACCAAAAGAATAAAGGTAAGAGTGGAAACTAGTGAAACAGAAAACAATTATATAAAAGAGAACATCAATGCAGAATTTAATTCACTGAAAAATACTAATAAAACAGACAAATCAATTTTTTCAAATCAAGGACAAAAAGCAAAAGAGGGGAAATACCACAGAAGACACTTAGATAATTTATATGATACAACATAATAATAATACAAACATAGCAAAGTTAACCTAAGAAGATATTATTTAGGCTAGGAAAATAAGAACTATGCAAAATGGAAAAAGTTTTAGCTAAGTATAAATTAACACAATTCAAGAAAAGATTGAAAAACTAAACTCCATTATATTACCACTAAATAAATTAAAGCAATAGTTTAAAAATTATAAAGCAAAAATTCTAGCTCTCTGTCTCTCTCACTCTGCTGCTCTCTCTCTGTTTCTGTCTCTGTCTCTCTCTCTCTCTCCCCACTCCCATCTGGGGCAGCCACTCTCTCTTTCAGATAATAAAGTCTCCTGCATGGGCCTGTGTCTCCTGAGTCATTCTGGGGGTTGATGAAAGTGGAAGATGTGGCCCTGGCCCTCACTTCTGGATGGGCACAGCTGGATTCATCTCAGGTGAACTTCTGCAGAGATGAAAGGCAGAACCTCCATGGCAGCCTGATCTCCTTGGGTGAAACACAGACCAAGATCAGGGAGTTACATCCAGGTGAGGAACATCCAGTACGAGAGTCTGGGGAAATACCGTGCCACTTGAGTGAAGACATTGCCCAGATTCCTACACGTGCAGAAGCTGGTGAACAGGAGGGTGGGTTACAAAGAAAGTGGAAAAATGACACTGGGAGGAGACAGCACATTTGCCGTGAATGTGGAAAGAGTTTTGCTCAGAGTTCAGGCCTTAGTAAGCACCAGAGAATCCACACTGGGGAGAAACCC